GACCCGTGGGACGTCAGCGCCCGCGTCGAAGCTGTGCAAGACTTGTACAATGGTGCCGGCGCATGCAGCATGTTCCGCATGTTCCAGGGCTGGCTGAGCCTGAGCAACTGTGGACCGAGGGAGGGGACCTTGTTGGTGAACCCGTTGGTGCAGCTCTCGACCGCCTACTTTCTCCTCCGGCCGTTCTTCCAGCCGCGTAGGGAATTATTTGCGAGTGGCAGCGGGGTCGTCGCGGGAGAAGGCGAGGAGTTCTTGCGAGAGGAAAACTGGGCGTTTACGGGCGGCGAGGCGATGAGTAGCGAGCTACAAGGGGCAACACCGGGACACGGACAGGAGCTCAGTGAGGCGCTGCATCCGCATCTGCAACTTGATGGGACAATGGTTCATATCCCGCGCATCAAGCCTGGGGACTTTGTCGTTTGGCACGCGGACCAGATCCACGCCGTCGATAAGGTTCACCAGGGACAGGGAGACTCGAGTGTCATGTACATCCCTGTGTGTCCGGCGACGGATTTGAATGTCGGGTACTTGGCGAGGCAGAGGGAGGCGTTTCTTGAAGGGCTGCCAGGGCCGGATTTCCCCGGCGGAAAGGGGGAGAGCGAACACGTGGGGAGGTCTGGAGAGGATGCCATCGAGGGGCTGGAGGCGAGGCGGGCGATGGGATTGGAAAAATTGGTCGGCGCTGGAGATGGGCATGGAGAGAGGGATTTAATTCAGAGGGCGAACAAAGTCCTGGGGGTTTGAAAACCAAAAGAAAAGGGGTATCTGATTTGGTAGAGGTCTTGGCTCAAGTATCAAGCTAATGGGAAGAAGTGAGCATATATGTTTGACCTATCACTTGAGCCGCCGCACACGAAGATGATGCTTCCTTTCCTATCTTTTCCCTAGACCTACCTATATGTCGTTTTTCTTCTTTTTCCTCCTCAGTATGAAGCCATAGTAATCAAACGCACTCTCCCCGCCAGAGAGGACATCCATGTCCATGTCCCAAAGATTATCGGCATTTAACAGCGGCCGCATGAAGTGAGGCTGTCTGTAAGTGATGTACAGAAACACCCCGTCGTCCTTGAGGGCGCGGTGGACCTCGCCGAGGTACTTGGCCGTGTTCTCACGAACGTCGACTGGAGGCGACCACGGACTCCCATGGATCATGGCGTCGAGGGTGCTCTTATCAAAAGCGATGTCGACAGACGCAGTCGGCGCGGCATCGGGCATGTCGCGGATGTCGGCCCATTTCCACTCGATGCCGGCCAAGTCAGCGTGTCGTTGTCTCATGAGGTCGACGACGACGGTGGAAAAGTCTAGGCAGAGCTGGTTCTTGTAACCGCGTGCCGAAAGGTCGGCGGGGATGGTCTATGGTGGAAATGGTGAGTGGTGGATCTGGGCCAGAGGTCAAACGTGTGAGTGTTGAGTGAAGAAGAAGTAAAGGTGGCAGCCAGGGTGAAACGTGAGGAAGTGTTAAACAGGGCGAGAAAGCAAAGTGACTTTGGTGGCGAGGGGCACAAGATACATACACTATCCCCAGATCCGAGGTGCATAATACGCGGGGAGGTGTCAGGGCGACGTTGGGAAAAGAGATGCTTCTCAAAGAACGGCTCGAGGGCTTCGAATGTGCGGAACCATTCGTGGGTCGGATGCGAGCCATCCGACTTGGTATAACGCTGATTCCAAAACTCGGGGGTGGCCAGAGCCTCAGCCTCGCTTAGTTCTGCCATACCTACGGTGCCAGATGTTACGGAAATCCGGAAGATGATAAGATTGTATCACAGTAATCGGTGATGTGAGTTGACGGCGGTGAAGGAGACATATACAAGGTGTCGGAACGAGATGAGATGGCAGGTGTACCGTAAAAACCGCCGTTCAAACTTGCGCTAGCCCGTGCACTTGACACGTTAAGCCTCTCTCAGTACAAAAACTCACTAATCTCCGCCACATTTTCAGATCTTAATTCTAAATAGAGGCACGTATTGGCCAGAAGGTGAGTAAGACAACGGGAGCACGGGCTAGCGCAAGTTTGAACGGCGTGAGTTTCTACGGTATGCGTATGCAAGATAGTAAGGGTGTCAATGAAAGTAAGAGCGACTGGTGGTGTAAGTGAGGCCTGGGTGAGATGAAACAAGACACCAGACGAGTGAGCGAGAAGATGAGAGCTGGTCGCGTCGTGGAGGGGCCGAAAAAGATTGCGGCCCCGCGACGAGATGAGCGATGGTGGGGGCGGGGCACTGGCAAGCTCGAATTGAGGATTCTCATTGGTGAACGGCCACCTTAGCTAATCAGCACACATGTCCTTCGCCATGGAAATGGAAATGAGGGGTTCACTCGACTCAAGAAACAAACCAAAGTTGTGAAGCTCAAGCTCATCAATTTCATCAAATAATGATTGCACATGTGACGAGTTAAAGTGAAATAAATGCTCATAAAGCTCGTTCAATTCATCAACTTTTTTTGTTTACCCAAGACATGCCCATTTCCAGTCCGATTCCAGAGTACCTTGAACACCATCTTGTGGCAATTCAATCATGTTTCCCTCACCTCATCATTGCCGGATTCTTCTACATCCAGCCCTCCGAACTCATCGAGTGGGACACCATTGCGCCTTACTGTTGCTGCGTGATAGGAGCCGAAAAGGGAGTGAGGTAGTCGCCCTTGCCGATCTGAACGCCCTTGGCGCGAAGGATGCCGTAGGCCGTGGAAATGTGGAAGAAGAAGTTGGGCATTCCGTAGGCGACGAGGTAGTCGCGGGCCTTGATCTGCACCTCGCCCTTGCCGAAGCCGAGTCCAAGGGGCACGAGGGCATCGGTTCGAGCCTCGAATGTCTTGGGGTCGGCGGCCTTGACGATGGTAATGGTGTGCTCGACGCGCTGGCGCAGGTCGTCGAGGCTGGCAAACTCCCTGCCCAGGGCCTCGGGCTCGGTGCCCTGAACGCGGGCGACGATCTTGATGGCGCAGTCGGCCGCGACGAAGAACTGGAAGCTGAAGGGCAGCATGTCATCCGCCAGCTTCCAGTCGAGAATCTCCTTGGCGTCAATGGACTTTTCCTTGGCGTACTCCTCGGCCTTGGTGATGATGTTAAGGAGCGAGTTGAGACCCGCAAGGAGGAGGGGGACGGAGGCGTCGTATAGAGTGTAGGCCATGTTTGCGGTTGTTGGTGGATGAATGGTAATGTTGACGATTGGTAAAGGGCTGTGTTTATGGTGCTTCAAGACTTGCAAGAATGTCAATAGATCTGTGAGGGGCCAGAAGCTTTATATGTCCTCAGCAAGCCATCCACTTGACAGCTGAAGACAGTCCCACGAAAGAGCGGTGGAAGCATGAAGCGTTTGGAGCTGATCCAAAGCCCCTGACCTGGTGCAGGTAGCTGGTGATCGGGCGTTTCTGTCCAGTTCGACGGGCGGGTCTGCTTGACTAATGCGTCGGTGCGGGTTGGAGTGTTGTAGTACCGGGGAACTCAACACAGCAACCGTCATGCTCACATACCAATCTCACTCTGCAGCCCTCGTATAATGCTATTGAAACTCTGGCCCATCTGCGGCCCCTTGCGTTTGCGCGTGGGCACTCGCGCGGCCCATGCCGGGGCTTGTTTCTCAGTCTTCCACCTGATAGGCAAAGTTAGCTGATGACCTGCCCCCCATCGTGAGTGGTGAACGACTTACAAGGCCGGTCTTTACCACAGTATACGGATACCCAGGCCGAGGGGTGCTACCTTGCTTCGGAACTCGGGTCAGAGAAGCGCCATAGCGAACAGCGCAGAAAGGGCGGCGGGGCCCAGAAACGGAGCGCCCGCTGACAAATGCCTCTTCCTCGTCTCACTTTGTCAGGCTTCCCTCACCCATCCTCCGCAGTACGAAGCCCGAGTCGCGGCAGCGGGCTGCGGGGGCCGAGTGGGAGAGCCACTGGCATTCCCGTCCTTGTGCATGTGCTTCGGGGCTAGTTGCATCCGAGCTGTTGCAGATCCTTGGTTCTAGTGGCACTGAGAGTCGATGCTTAGAAATCCAAACGGTCGCAGCCTGGTAGGACAGTATCCATCAAGGTGAAAGGATTCCAGTCGACTAGATATGTTCAGTAAAGGAATGAAAAGACCGATGTAGAGATACACTTCAAGATATGGGACATACAATTACTTCACGAGCCTCAGATGGCAGATCTGATATAAAATAAGACAAGAACCAATCGGGACTTGGATGTAGACAGCGGCCCCAGAAGCTTAAATGGACGAAGACACCTCGCACTCTGCAAATGAAGAGATGGGTTCGACATTCGTCATAAAGCTATGCTATGGCGTGCTTATCAAAGAGAAGCACTCAAATCTTGTAAAGCCATCATAAAACCATGCGCGTGTGTATGTGAGTGTGTCTGTGTGGATCAACCAGGCGGGAACTCTAAAGGTAGCCTATTCCCGGCAGAACCATGACACTCTTACGCTAGACCAGCAGTCAGATCCAGATTCAGTAGTGAAGACTACCGGCCGCTGAGCAGAATAACGCTGAACATATCTTCGAACTCGACCGAGTCGAATTGCCTTGCTTGCTAATCAGTTTCGAAAAGGCCTTACGCAAGCATTCCAAGCGGGCTAACTCTACCCCGCCAAGTCCGGCCCGGCCCGGCCCAAACGAAGCCAGGAACACAAACCAAAAGGTGTGTTGTGTTTTCTCTGCAATCCCGGCGAAACACAACGACGGGTTTTGCAAAGAAAAGAACCAGTCGTTGACTTCACTTCATTGTCTCTCTGCCACTCCTTACTTTGTCCTTCTCGCCCGGGCTTGAGGCACTTCATAGACGTGCTACTCAGCCTGAGGTCAGGCAGTGGATCACATTGCAACAAGGCCGCTCTTGGGCCGAATAACTTTTCCAAATGTCTGGCGTGACTGTCAAACAGGTCGCCCCAAATGCGTTTCGAGCAGGAGTCCTGGGCGCCACAAGCGTTGATCCAGCGTGTATTTCTTTTCCTTTTTACTTCTTGTCGGCAAATTCCAACTTCAATCTGCATATAGCTCTAACTTTTAAAGATGTTTTTGCTCAGTGTCCCACTCCCGTTCCCATATTTCGTCAATAATATCACCGCTGCCTTTGACACACTTCCAATGCCCCATTCCGTACTCTTTCGGTGCCACACGGCAACCTCTCCCACCTCCACCCACAATCAAGTTTCCAGGTCTATACTTTTCGTCGCGCTCCATCCGTCGTATCACGCTTCCATGAATTCTGACTTTGTCCGGAACGTCCCGGACTTCTCCCCTTGGCAGTGGCCATCTGATTGGTTTCCAACTGCCATCTGGCCTTAGGTCGAGTCTTCTAAAGGGGAGATACTCCATCACCCGCCACATGAAGACACTGGCACGATGCATGCCACATTTGAAGTCAAGCGAGTCGTGTATCTTGGCTTCGTGGGCTGTCTGCATCATCACGTTGAATGACAAGGCCGTGCAGGTGTGCGTTGATGTGCCCGAGTTTGCCGCGTTTTCTGTCGCGGAAGCGGTGGGTGATGAGGGCTGGAAGTCGATAGTAGGGGAAGGCGCATCGATGTGAATTTCCGGGACTGCGATGGCTCCGTTCGGCATAGTAGCCGTCGACTGTCTTGTAGTTCGCGTGTCTTCTCCGGCTACTGATTCAACGCAGCCGAGGTACTCGAGCTGGTCGAGATCAAATGTCAACCCTGCTCGCATGGCTTCTCTCACCATCCACACGAGGGGTATGTGACTGGCATTCTTTTGGCCAGGAACGGCGTCCCATCCTCCGCCTATATCGCCATGCCCTCCGGAGAACCATACCTCATCAACATCCTGGTCAGCTTCGTCGTCATCCGAGTCGTAGGTGAGATCTTCCATGGGTGGCTTGGAGTTGATAGACGAGGCATCGTGATCCGTATACGCGTTGCCTGTTCGTTCGGTTGCCCTGGATCTGGACCTGGAGCGACTACGGAAAGGAGCCGGATGGTCTGCGTCTTCCTCTTGTGAATGCACTCGGCGCCTACCACGGTCTTCTTTCGCCACAGCGTCGTCAGGTGCAAGTGTTGATCGCCGACCTGGACGATACTTTTCTTGGAACTCCTGCACTTTTTCGTTCAAAGGGTGATGGTGCTCCATCAAGCGCTTGGCTGCAGTTCTCCTCCGAGACTTCTTGGGCTCTTGATAAATGAGATCTTGGCGAAATTTGGCGCGTCGTTCATCAATACTGACAGCATGCCTGATGACTTTCGCAGAGCTTCGCGCAGTGTACGGGAACTTGCTCCGCTGCATCCACGCCGTTTCGAAGCGCGGCACGCTATTCACGGTGTCGAACAATCCCAAAAAGCGGATTCGTCTTATCGGTCGCGAGAATGTTTCTCTGAAGCCTTTGAGAAACTGATACATCTTCTCTCTGTCTTCTTTGCCCTCCGGTGTTGAGTTCGTTCTTCTGCATTGCCATTGTGAGAATGAGTTCCACGCGAAAGCGACCATTTCCTCGTTGCCATGGGCAAGTAGACCGACAAAGTCCAACATCTCAGCCAGGAACCTAGCAACATAGGCACCTCGAGAGAAGCCAAACATGTAAATGTCGTCTCCTGGCGAGTAGTACCTCATCAAGAATCTGTAGCCGCCCACAACGTGCTGGTCAAATGACGAGCCGACTGCAGAGTCCTTGGCCATCTGGTACCAGGACTTGCATTTGGCTCTGAAACCATTATGCGTTAAATTTTCTGAGACAACATATGTCCCTATGCCGGCTGTAGGAATACGTATCCTTAGTGACATGAAGTGTAAATGCAAAGGTGGCAGCACTCACGTTGATAGTAGTGGTCTATAACCTCTGTCAGCCTCGCCATTCCGAAGACGATTAAATGAATGATGTTCAAATCTCACATTGATCATTTGCGTTGCTGTCGAGCATGCGGAAAATTTTGAGAATATTGCTGTCGCTGTCATCTCCACGAAACTTATTACCGGTACCGTCGAAGCATAGGATCAACTTTCTACGGCCACCACCGTGCGAGCCTCCCCTACAAGTTCCGTTGGCACATTGGCCACTTATATCTGGTTGATGTCGACTGTTCCTTGAGGGATCGCGCAAGTAAGCCTGCATTGTTAGATAGGGAGAAAAAAACGCAAGATGAAGGAAGACTTTGTCCGAAACGTAACGAGAGTCTAATGCTCCTGGTAGGTGTTGGATCAAGGTTGTCCTTAGTGTTGGCGAATATCAAATGTCATATACAATCATCTATGCCCCAGAAACCTTGGCACGATGACTAAGATTGAGACATCTTGTAGCCCGTTACGTATGGACTGAATGACAATGTTTACCCAGGAAATCTGTCTGTTTCTGACTAAGGACCAGCGTAAGGTGCAAGCGGATGATTCGGACCTGATCTGCGTAACCAAGCCGAACTTGGAACTCTGTTTCACTCACGCGGCTAGACAACATGCCGAATTAGTAGATTGGTATGGCAATTCATATGCCCTACTTTGGTCAAAATTTCTCAACCTCGCAAGTCGGCGAATCAGCAAGAAAATTCAGCAGAGCAGGTCCGGCATCGGCTGCAGTCTCTAAGGGTCACCCAGCTTCTGCCTCATGAGATCAGCTTGAGACAGGTCTAACACTCGTGCTCAAAAGAGAAAAGACAATAATGAAATACGGCAAGCTCGGACAAATACTTGAGGCTTGCCAAGGGGGAGTTCCTGGAGTAGAGTGAGACATAGCCGATTTCCATATCTGGATAGAAAGGGAGATATGTTTCGACCTTGGCAGTCCTCGAGATATGACACCAGAAGCGGAAAGTGAAATCACGAATTACGCCCTTGTTTCGGACGCGGTTGTTCCGAGACCTGCTTAGACGCCCCATTGCCCAACTGCATATGCCTACGTGTTGCCGAATCCCTGGGGAAACATGTGGGTATGCGATAAGGCGCGAGACATGAGTGCGCCAAGTCTCACAAACTGTTCTGAAATCCCGTGCAAGACAGTCAAGACAGTCCATGTAAGTAGCTAAAGCACCTAAGGATAGGATCGACTCGATATTGATGACGCATAACAACTAGGTATTGCCTGATCCGCAAGTAAATCATTACTGAGACACAGCCGATCGTTCGTAAATCTCTTTTAAAGTTCACTTTCCCACCATCATTTTGCGCCAAGGAACTCAAGTTTACATATCTAGATAGGCAGCACGCCACTCACATGCCAATCCGTCCAACGATGCTCCCTCGAACGAGCGACTACTTGCAACTGCTTGCATACCAGCAAAGTTCGAAGTCACAATGCCTGTCGCACAGCATACACGAACACCATTCATGTCTGGTTGAGCACACGTGAAACGTTCTCAGGTGATGTGCGAGTTGCAGTTGCCCAGGCAGCTACCACAAAGCATCCAAACACCAGTAGCTTTCTCAAATGAGAAAGAGAGGTCGGACGCGGATTATCGTGGACGTTGTAGTACATCATACCCGGTCGTTTCTCCGCCCCGCTTTCGTTGAAGGATTACCCACGTAGCAGCACACCGGTTCCCAAATGCACGTCTCACAATACTAAACTAGCGCATTGGAAAATGCCGTAAGGGAATGGGCGGCAGCCAGGTCGATCGCTTTTTCTAACGCTGACTATACCCTACTTAGCATTCTAGTACCTATGAAAGTCTCACGAACGGAGCTTTGGCGGACGGTTGCAGCTGCTTATTTCACTGATCTACCGTAGGTGTAACGCTACCAGCCCGGGGCCGTTCAAGTGGAACATGGTCTTAGACATTATCTGAGACTGTTCGAGACAATCCCAGGGTATCTATCACACCTGGTATTTGTGCTCATTATTCACTCTCCACCAAGACGGTGCTGAGAAAGTAACAATGCCCATTGGCTCGAGCAATGGATGTGAGATGTCAGTGTGGGCAGTCGCACTCTGTATGGTAGAAGCGCAAGGTATAATAATTGGGTGTGGTTTCCTTGGTTTTCTTACGGAAAGTTTTCCCGATTGTGATTATCCTTTCCCAACTATTGCCCTTAGTTGCCTACCTCATGATGAAGACCTCCAGGAACGGAAGCAATTCAAGTGCTGGCGGCGATACATACAAGCCTACCACTACTGGTACCAGCATGAAGAATCCTAAATCTGGCCCAAGTCGAGCAGACCCACGGTATGGTTCCCATGATGTCAAGAAAAAAGGGTTCTCGGATGTGCGCCAGGCGTCTAAGCGACCATTGCCCACGCAAAATGGCGACGGAACCTACCCCTCAGAACTTACTCGGCCTACCATGGTTCAGAATCTGAAGGCTCTACAGGCCGCAGGTGTGTGAAAGCTTTGCCATAGACGAAGAATTTGAGCAGATACTGACGGCGAGAGAAGATCTCAAGACACTCGTTCAGATCATCAAATCCAAGATCAAGGGGGAGAAGATCCAAGATGACAAAACCATGATCATGGAACGGACAATTCAGATTGTTGCCAAGCTCCCACACAACTCTCGCCTACGAGAGCAACTGACAAATACTTTCATTGAGGAGCTCTGGGGGTCACTCGACCATCCTCCGATGCTTTACATGGGCGATGAATACAAATACCGTCAGGCCGATGGATCTTACAATGTTAGTCAACTGGCACTAAAACTTATGTACACATTCTAACGAGAAAATTCACAGAATCCAATGCTTCCAAGGCTAGGAGCTGCCGGAGGACCATATGCCAGATCTGTCAAGCCTCGTATTGTCACCCTCGGCGCCATGCCGGATCCTGGCTTGATCTTCGATGCCGTGATGGGGCGCACGAGCTACAAGAAACACCCTAACAACGTTTCGAGTATTCTTTGGTATTGGGCAACCATTATTATTCATGGTTAGTAGACTTTCCCCGTGGGGACTCTGAGGACGTAAGTGTTCTGACGAATGGTAGACCTCTTCTGGACGGACTTCAAAGACGTGACGAAGTCCAAAACGTCCGCGTATCTTGATCTCTCGCCATTGTATGGAAGCAATCAGGAGATGCAAAATTCAATCAGAACATTTAAGGATGGCAAGCTCAAAGCCGATAGTTTCGCTGACAAGCGTCTGATCGGAATGCCACCCGGAGTCTGTGTCCTCTTGATCATGTTCAACCGATTCCATAACCATGTGGCGGAGAATTTGGCTGCTATCAACGAGGGAGAGAGATTCACACCGCCAAGCAAAGATCTCAACGAGGAGAAGACAGCTGCGGCTCTGAAGAAGTACGACGAAGACTTGTTCCAAACTGCGAGACTTGTGACATCTGGCCTCTACATCAACATCACATTGGTCGATTACGTACGAAACATCGTCAATCTGAACCGCACCAACACGACTTGGACACTCGACCCCCGACAGGAGGCTGGTATCGATGCCGGTACACCGGATGGAGCGGAGGCAGGCACTGGGAACGTCAACTCTGCTGAGTTCAACCTTTGTTACCGATGGCATTCGTGTATCTCAGACAAGGACGACAAGTGGATCCAGAAGTTCTACGGCAAGCTCCTAGGTAACAAGGGCCAGATGTCCCCCCAGGAAATGGCTTGCGTTTTCGGGCAATTCGAGAAGTCTATCCCAGACGACCCTGGCATGCGTACTTTTGCAGAGTACGAAAGGGGCGAGGACGGAAAGTTCGACGATGACGACCTTGTGGATTGCATCAGCTCTGCGATTGAAGACTGTGCTGGAGCGTTTGGAGCTCGAAACGTCCCTCAGGTTATGCGACCTGTTGAGATTATGGGCATCTTGCAAGGACGCAAGTGGAATGTCGCTGGTTTGAACGAGTTCCGAAAGCACTTTGGCCTCAAACCCCATGAAAGTTTCGAAGAAATCAACTCAGACCCCGCTGTCGCGGATCAACTAAGAAACCTCTACCAACACCCAGACTACGTTGAACTATACCCTGGCCTCGTCGCTGAGGAGGCAAAGACTCCCCTGACACCTGGTGTTGGCATTGCCCCCACATACACCATCTCTCGTGTCGTTCTCTCGGACGCTGTCTGTCTGGTTCGCGGCGACAGATATTACACGACGGACTACAACCCCAGACACCTAACTCAATGGGGCTACAAGGAGGTTGACTATGACTTGAACATCAATCATGGTTGTGTTTTCTATAAGCTGTTCCTCAGAGCTTTCCCCAACCACTTCAAGGGCAATTCTGTTTACGCCCATTATCCCATGGTAATCCCACCGGAAAACCAACAGATTCTCACGGACCTGGGAAGAGTCGATCAGTTTGATTTTGAACGCCCCAACCCCATTCCAACAAGGACTAACATCACGTCTTTTGGCGGTGCCAAGTACGTCTTGGACAGCCAAAGTCGGTTCAAGGTGACGTGGGACGAGGGATTGTCCTTCTTGATGGGCAAGGGTGGAAGCCGCTTCATGCTTTCCGGAGACACTGACTTTCACACGGGCCAGAAGAAGTGCATGAGTGCTCAACTCTACCAAGACGACTGGAATTCTCATGTTAAGAAATTCTATGCCGATATTACGGAACAGCTACTTCGCGAGAAGTCATACAAGCTTGCCGGTCAAACACACGTTGACATCATTCGGGACGTAGGCAACATCGCTCACGTTCATTTCGCCGCCAGAGTGTTCAATCTCCCTCTGAAGACACACAAGAATCCCAAAGGCGTCTTCACTGAACAGGAGATGTATCAGATCTTGGCGGTAATCTTTGTCTGCATCTTCTTCGACATCGACCCAGCCAAGTCTTTTCCCCTTCGCCAAGCCGCGAAGGAGGCAGCGCAGTCGCTGGGCAAGCTTATTGAGACGAATGTCAAGATCACTACGAAGACAGGGCTTCGTGGGCTCTTTACTGGCTCAGCAGACAAGCAAGACCCTCTCGCATTGTACGGAACCAATATGATCAAGGGTCTCGATAAGGCCGGTCTGAGCACCTACGATATCGCTTG